TTGTTTAAAAGACTTCATTATTCTTTTGTTTTTAATTATTTTTTCCAAATTAGTGGTAAAGAGCCTCTTTCTATTATCAGTGTTTAGCATTTCATATTTTCTTAAGAGTGATCTTGACTATAAACTGTTTTTAGGCGTATGTGTCTTTTTGCCGGTGGTGGAACCAAAAATAAGGGGCTGTACCTGGGTTTTAGCCAGGGGGTCAGACCAGAATCGCCCAGGCAGCCTTCAGGAGTAGCCTGGGCCCCACCCCAGAAACCTGATTCGCAGGGTCGAGAGTGGAGGCTCAGCATACACGTGCAGTATTTTAAACACTTGTCAGGATTCTGTTGTCTCCTACCCCTTTCTCTCTCCGCTCTCTTTGTTTTAATTGTTATTAAAGGTAATAGATGTTTTTGGCATAATAATTGTTACAAAGTGAGTAATTGTTCAGTAGTTGGAAAAGTAGATCTTGCAGTTTTAGAATTTTATGTGATCATAAAAATCTATGCCGAGCCATCTTTCTAGACTACTTAGCTTATTCTGGCAAATCTTATGCTTGGGTCTTAAAGTTTGGTGGACTGCTGCTTCTTGAAGCCTGCCAACCAGGAGCGTACGTATTTCAGAAAATTATTCTACTTCTGCTGCATTTCACCTGTCACTGTAACTTTCTGTTCTCAGAGGGGTTCGTCATTGCGAATGATGTGGACAACAAGCGCTGCTATCTGCTCGTTCATCAGGCCAAAAGGCTGAGCAGCCCCTGCATCATGGTGGTCAACCACGATGCGTCCAGCATACCTAGACTCCAAATAGATGTGAATGGGAGGAAAGAGATTCTCTTCTACGATCGCATCTTATGTGACGTCCCTTGCAGGTATTTATGTTATTAAGAAACCAAAAAGCCTAAAATCCACTAAGGAAATCAATTTAAATATAGACTGATGTGAATTTGCACACAAATACACACGGAGTTGTACACGTTCTCATGGCAGCTGGTATGAAGACACAGACACTCAGAATTTCAGTGCCACCCAGCAGAGCAGAATGAGGGTACGGAGCGAAGAGACCCAGATGGAACGGTTCCGTGGTCTTCACGGGGGCAAAGGAGATCCCTGAGGGGCTAGGAGCGTCATAAGCTCTGTCGTTGGTCCAGGAAATGATCGTTAGGAATGATTGTTCCTCCCATTCCTGATTCCGCCTCATTATGGAGGGATGTGGAACAACACTGGGTTTTCACGACCAATCTTCTGTTACTCAGCGCGGTGCGACTCCAGAGTTCGGACCCTTGAGACACTCAGTGTGCCTGTGTTTGTACACATATATTTCTTCAAATTTTATGTGTAAGTGTTAGATCGTTAGCATTTACCTATAAGAGAATTTTATGGATTAACTGAATAACTGAGTTTTTCCAGAAAGAAAAGGAGAAAACTAAAGACCTCTCTTAAGTTCCCAGAGGCAGTGACGTAGGCCATGGTCACCTTGTGAGCACATGAATTTGTCTAGCGGGGAGTGCAGAAATCACCACAAAACTGTGTTAGCATGGAATGTGATGCTTCCATAAGACACCCGGTACCACACTCCATCTCACTTAAACCACGGCAGATTGCCTGCTTGTGGCAGAACTCATTGTGAGAGCTGTAAGTTGGTAGTATGAATAGGATGGGGCTTTAAAATTCTTGCAAGAACACCTTGTGAAATAAAACTTAAAATGGGTCATGAGCCACAGTTGTCTGATTTTCCTTTAGCGCAGATGTTTTCCCATTCCTGTGCTCTTTTGACCAGAAACCGGTAACTCACTTCTCGTGTTATCTTGGAGAATGCAGGGACCTTCTGAGCACCGAGTTGTAAGCTGAGGAAATCCTAAATATTACGGTAGAATTTTAAGCCACCACTGTACCAGCAAGGGATGTCATTTGAAAGCCACTATATCTGATAGGGCATTTTCATTCTCCTGTAGCCCCTTCTCCTCCAGACAGTTAACTAGACTACCGAGGGAGATTAAACTACAGAAAGCCAGCTGATCCAGAAAAAAATGGGTAAAGTCAGATGTGGACAAAAAGATAAATTGATCAAGTCTGTATTATAAAATTTACATGGAAATAATTTCCATTAAGTAAAAATAGAAAATCAAAAATGTTTAACTGATGCATAGAAAAATCTTGATAAAGAAGTTCAATTGGCTTAATTGAATTTGCTGTGGAAAATCCCTTATGAGTATAAGTTTACCATTACTCACGTAAATCTGATTAAAATGCCACTATTGATTAACCGAGTTGTTAAGTAACAGGATCCAAATGGCTTCATAGTTCTGTGTCCTAGGTCTGAAAATTAGTTCTGCTAGTATTTCTCTCAAATGGAAGCAAATTGATACATCTGTAAGTCTTGAATGAGGTTATCTGTTCAATTCTGTTATTTCCTTATCTAATTGAAAATTAAAGTATAATTTAAAAGTTTTAATGTCATTAGTGTCCCTAAAGCAGAAATAGAAAGTTGATGGTAGTTTGTGAGAATTTAGATGGTGTTCTAATTGGTGTATATAATAATAAAAATATCCATTTTGTAATTAGCTTGGATATGACATAATGGTTAAACTCTAATCGGTCTACCTGGTCAGAGTTTTTAAGTTCTTAAATATCTTCCTTTCTAGTGGAGATGGCACTATGAGAAAAAACATTGATGTCTGGAAGAAGTGGACGACCTTAAATAGCTTGCAGCTGCATGGGTGAGTCAGGCTGTATCCAGTGGGCTGTCCCACACGGAGCAGGGGAGGGGCAGCTGCATGGGTGAGTCAGGCTGTATCCAGCGGGCTGTCCCACACGGAGCAGGGGAGGGGCAGCTGCATGGGTGAGTCAGGCTGTATCCAGCGGGCTGTCCCACACGGAGCAGGGGAAGGGCAGCTGCATGGGTGAGTCAGGCTGTATCCAGCGGGCTGTCCCACACGGAGCAGGGGAGGGGCAGCTGCATGGGTGAGTCAGGCTGTATCCAGCGGGCTGTCCCACACGGAGCAGGGGAGGGGCAGCTGCATGGGTGAGTCAGGCTGTATCCAGCGGGCTGTCCCACACGGAGCAGGGGAGGGCTATCGCTGCATTTGGGGACAGCATCTGGAGCTGGAGTTGTTAATGGTCACTCTTGAGAGAGTTTGGGTACGTATCAGAAGTAGTTGTTTTCAGAACCTCTTCAGAGTAGTAAACTGAAGACTGTATGTATACATTTCAGGTACATATTTATCAAAAGTGCCTTTTATGACAATTTCCTGTAACATTTCAAGACCTGTTTTCCATGAAATGACCACTTACCTTTTACTGTCTCACTCATCTTTGTTCTGTTTTCTGTTCTTTTGTGTTGAATTATTTTAACATTTTGACCTCAGATACTTACTGTCTTTAAAGACAATTGGGAAAATTCTTAAAAATAGAAGAGAAGATCTCGTAACTCAAAGATAACTTCTGTAATGTCTGGTGCGCTGTGTGTTTTTCTGTGCATACCAGTCTTGAGTGTATGGTCTTCAGGGCTATGGATTCTTTTTTTCATTTAACATTAGAATTCTGCATTCTTAATTATAGAATTGTGGGTAGTCTACAGTGTCCTGATGAATATTCACTGTAAATAACTCCAGCAGGAGATTTTGTTTCTCTGTTAAATACTTTTTAACTTTTTTTGTGTGTGTGAAATAGGTTCTAGGATTAGAATGTACGAAGGGACATAAGTTGTTCATAGAAAGAAAAGTTAAATGTGTGTACTGATATGGAGGCTTTTTAATGAGACTCACATAATATATTGACTTCAGTCACTAATCAGCTTTGTGCTTTGCTTGTCGGCTTGTTGGGAAGGGCTAACAGAATAGTAAACGCACTGTTTATATAGAGAGATGCTTTTTTGTTATGAAACATCTCATGGGTTTACTGTAACTTCATTTAGAATTTTAAAGAGTTCTTTTTGTGGGAATTGTTTATTTTGTATTTTGTATTTTATTTTAAGTCTGTCATAAAAATGTGTGGTAAGTATGTGGTATAATGGGTGCTGTGTGTGCCGCATGGATAGGTTTGGTCTCAGGGTGACCTAGTATCCAACCCTTAGCTTACAGCTGCGGATTGCAACACGTGGTGCTGAGCAGCTGGTGGAAGGCGGTAGGATGGTGTATTCTACGTGTTCACTAAACCCCATTGAAGATGAAGCAGTCATAGCATCTTTGCTGGAAAAAAGTGAAGGTAAGTGTGCGGGACACAAAGTATGAGATTTTCAAAAATGTTGTTTATTGCCGTAGTATATATTCCCATAGACCTTTTCAGGCATTTGCTAGTATGATTAGCCTATAAACCCTGAAGCAAGCTACCCTTACAAACGTGCTTATGTAATGATTTTGTCATATTTAATGAATTACGACGATTACCTATTTGGTATCTCTTAAGTTTGAAAAATTAGGTCAGTTCTTATCACAGTGGTTTTTTGAAAAAATCTGAATTGTGGAAAACACTTGTAACTTGAAGTTTACCGTCGTTTTAGCTATTTTTAAATGTGTGTTTTGATAGTGTGAAACACTCATGTCCTCTAGCCGATCTCTAGAGCTCCTTATCTTGCCAAGCTGAAATTACGGACCCACTGCACAGCTCCCCATTTTCCCAGCCCGTTATCCTCTTTGCTGTCTCTGAGTTTGATCACTCTAGGGGTCTCACGGGTGGAATCAGATCATACTTGTCTTTTAACAAAAAGGCTTATTCCACTTAGCACACTGTCCTCAAGGTTCCTCCGTGTTGTAGCGGTGTCTGGATCTCCTTCCTTCAGCCCTGAAGGCTCAGGGTGCCCCACTGTGTGCAGGCGCCACATTCTGTCTCCCCACTCACCTGTCCGTGGACACCTGAGGTGCTCCCTGTTTCAGCTCTTACGACTAGTGCTGAGATGACATGGCTGCACAGACAGCTCTTTAGGACCCTGCTTTCAGGTTTTGGGGTGTATATCTTGTGGAATTGCCGGATGATATGATTCTGTTTCATTTTTGGGGTTCCCCCATGCTGTTTTCCACAGCAGCTGCACCATTTTACATTTGCGCCGACAGAGCACAAGGGTTCCCACTTCTCCATAGCCTTGCCGGCTCGGCTCTTGTTACTTTCTGCTTTCTTGGTTATAGCCATGTTAACGGGTGTGAGGTCTTAGCACACTGTTTTATACGAGAAACCGGACAGGTGGTGTGAAATGTTTTTAAACGACAGTTTCCATAATGGTTTGATGTAAAATATCTCTTCTTAAAGTTTTTACCGATATGTTAATTTTTCCCATCATCGTCTCCTTAAAGCCAATAATGAGGGATTTCAGACTAGGATTCCAGAATAGAATGTTTCCACAATTGCTTCACACGTGTATGAAGGAAGTTGGAACGTAAATACCGAGACAAGTATCCACAGCTGTCTCGGCTTCCAGTTACCTTGTTTGCAGTGGCTGACTGACCTGTGCTGTGTAGTTAGCCCTCTATAGTTCTCGCCTTCAGAGTCCTTGAGATCGGAATTTAGTATTTGTGATTGTTTTGTTTGGCTATGCTTAAGTTGGGCCTGTGTAAGGGTGTGATTTCTGAATGGTGTTCTTTGCAGGGTCATAGTCTCCATGTTTGTGGTGGGACTTCATTTCAAAGGCATATGAAGAGAAGGACTGATGACATTGAGTGGTGACTGTAACTGCAGGTGTCCTTTGCTGCCCCATTTTTTCTTACTGGACGTGTGGGGTTCCACTCTGGGTTTGCTGTGACAGCCATCTTTCTGCATGTGGTGGTTTCAGACCGCAGTGTAGTCTCCGTCTCCGTTGTCTGTCAGGCGTCGTGTGTAGGCATGGCTTCATGGAAGAGTGGTTCTTTGTTGAGCCTTGCACTTGACAGTGACTGAGAATTTGGGAGGAGTGAAGTCCCCACCTGAAGGAGCTCAGACCTGGCTGCAGGCAGAGCGGCTGATAAGCATTCAGTCTGCACACACTGGGTCCGTGTCGCCTCTCCTGACCCCCACGGTGGCAGGGTGTACGGGACAAATTTCTGCAAACCTGCTCTATTATTTAGTGTTTGCTTTTAGAAAGAATATTCAGATAGAACAGTACAAGTCAGCACAGTGTTTTCGTCAGAGACTTCTTACGAGGACGCCTCTGCCTTGAGGACTCTTTTGCTCTATTTTTATAATCGTCTGAGCGTTTCATAGCTTCTGTGGAGCTTTGTTGGATTTTCCTCTTCTGTGAGGCTGTCCAGTCTGTACCCATGATCTATGGTGGAGGTGTGATCAAGAGGGTTCCCATCGTGGCCCCATCTTACAGCTTCTTGTGAGGTTGTTACCGTGGACACCTGTTTTTAAAGCTGGCTCTTGCCCTGCAACTGCTGCACAAGTTTGGAAAACTAACTTGGGCCTGGAACAGAATGTTTACAAATTTTCACAGTTCATTTTAAATGTTACTTTTTGGTTCTGGGTTATTAGATGTAAAGGCATCAAGACCCACGTCCTCTAACGGGCGTGTGTCTAGAAGCCAGGAGTGGGTGGAATGCTTGGAGTCCTAGCCTCGTGGTGTGTTCGCGGGGGGGGCTCGTGTGTGCGCGCCACTGCCACGGGGCTCACGTCGGGCACTTCGTGGGACTCTGCACCTGCTGCGTGTCTCCACGGCTTCGTTGGCAGTAACTCACGTGCCACCAGTGTCCCTCGTTTTAAGGGTACGACTAGTGACCTTCAGCAGGTTTCTGTGCACAGCCATCCCCACAGGCCAGGCTTTGGCCGTTTCTGACCCCCCCCCCCCCCCCCCCCCGCCCCACGGAGTGCTCTGAGGGCCTGCGTGCGCTTGCTGCCTGTGCCGCCCCGCCCCCGGAGCCGCAGTGCTGCCTTCCGTCCCTATGGAGTTGCTCTCCCTGGGCATTTCGTAGAAATATATGATCTTTGGCATCTGGTTTTTTTCACGGGGCATAAATGTGGAAAATTTATTTGTTTATTTATTTTTGTATGTAGGTGCTTTGGAGCTTGCTGATGTGTCTTCTGAGTTGCCAGGACTAAAGTGGATGCCTGGAATTACACACTGGAAGGTAATCTTTCTGGGAGGATTCTGGCTTCTAAGAGCAGGTACAACTTGCCAGGCTTGTCAGAGTCGTGAACGTTTTAAATTAAAGCAGCCACAGTTGGGTAACGTCAGTAAATACTACTTTTGGTTGTGCAGTCAGATTTGGTTTAGAGTTAATTTCCAAATTCTATTGAATGACAAATGGTACGATTCTACAAATACTTTTCTCTGGCAATGGGGAAGTTTCCCTGCCTTTTTTCTGCAGTTGGAAATCAGCTTTGTGTGTTCTCATCCCCGTAAGTGTAGCTCTGCTGTATTTTTATTCCTGGCTGGGATTCAAGCTTTGTTTCCAATATGAAGCAATTTACTTTTCAGTTTTAAACCAGAGTCTACCTGAGGCTTGTTAAAAACAAAATAAAACCTACGTGGAAAATGCTCTTTTACAAACTGATTGTTCTATTTAATGGAATACAAGATCGTCTCATTTTTCTCTTCCCACACAGTCTCAGCTTTGGAGAGCGGTGAGAGCTGCCGTTTATCAGTTTGAGCGCATTTACATGAGCACCCTGTGATTTTCGTATTGTCGGGTTGTGCGGTGACTTGGAGTCCGCCCGTCACTCTCCTTTTGCAGGTAATGACGAAAGACGGGCAGTGGTTTACGGAGTGGGAAGATGTCCCTCACAGCAGACATACCCAGATCCGGCCCACCATGTTCCCGCCAAAGGACCCCGAGAAGTTACAGGCGATGCATCTAGAGCGTTGGTGAGTTTGTGAGGCTTGCAGAGGTTTGGGAAGGTGGGGAGTTGGGACCCTCCGGCATTCCCGCAAGGCCTGGGACATGCGTGTGGTCGACTCAGGGTGTGAACGTGCCAGCAAGAAAGAAGCTCGCGTTTCCTGTTGGCTGTTGGCATTGAGCATCCGTAAGTACAGCCAGTGGTGAGGGCCCAAATGGTCGAACTTTGCATCCTGCCTCAACTGTGTATGCAGACCATGCGGCTGTCCCATGAGTGCGGGTTGTGGGAATACTGACCAGAAGACACGACTTTTCTGTCACAGGTCATCTTTGCGGTTTTTGTCTTCATACTAAAAGAATATATTTTGAATCAGTTAAAAAGTGTGCATCGTGGTTTTTTTTTTTTTTTTCAGTCTTAGGATATTACCGCATCATCAAAATACTGGAGGGTTCTTTGTGGCAGTATTAGTGAAAAAGTCTTCAATGCCCTGGAATAAACGTCCACCAAAGGTAAGCACGTGGCATATCATGTAAGCTTTCTGTGCATTCCGGGCAGACGCTGACGGTGGTCAGTGGAACATTTTTTGGGTGTGGAGAGCAGCTGAGCATGAGCATGTGTGTGGTGGGGGTAGGGATTCATTTAAATTTTGAGTTTTCCAAGAAAGCAGCAATGTCTTAAGGGATAGATCCATGAAAAAGGCATACTTGGGGGATTACATTCCTTCTGCATTAAATTCAGTTCTTTAATAAAAATTGAGAGACATAATGACTGCTCTGTGGCTCAGAGTTAGAGCCCCGCAAGCTGGCTTCTGTGCTCTGGTCCCTGGGGGTTGGTTCAGTTGAGCCCATTGCAGATTGACAGAACTCTGCCAGCCTCAGGCCAGCCTGTCTTTCCCTTGGCCGTGGGGGACAGTGACAGAGACTTTGTCCAGGCCTGGCCAAAAAGGAGACAGAGAAGGCCCAAGCCATCCTAATGGGTTGTTGTAGGGGGCCCTGAAGCAGGGAGGGTGAGTAGGAGGGCAGCCTTTCAAGTCTTTCCATGTAACGTCTGCTGCCCTCTTTTATCAACATGACATTTATCTCGCTAGTTCGTACCTCAGCCTTTCCATAATGTCAGAACATGGCTGGGATCACAGTCTGAAGATCAGTATTTCTTTCAGATGAATGCTTACAAAGGAGGACAAAGAATGATTAGACTTTGCAGAGGCAGAAAGGAAAGTGTTCCTGGGATATGGCTAACCCACATGAACGTTTGAGTGTCCGGCCTCACCACCGGCCCAAGAGTGGAACTGGCATGTCCGGGCAGGCGCTGTGCTGGTTGTGGGAGGCTGGAGAGTGTTCTTGACTCTCCTTGGCCCTGGACTCCTGGGTCAGGAACTCCGAGCAGGACTGTCATCGACATGGAGTGCCAGCTACATGTGTAACTTCCACGGTATTGCAGCCACTTTTTTAAAAGCGCACACAGGGGTGCCTGGGTGACTCAGTTGGTCTGCCTTTGGCTCAGGTCATGATCTCGGGGTCCTGGGATCAAGCCCCATGTTGGGCTCCCTGCTCAGTGGGGAGTCTGCTTCTCCCTGTCCCCACCGCTCCTGCACGCTCGTGCTCTCTATCTCAGATAAATGAATCTTTAAAAAATAAAGATAAATAAAAGCACAAGGAAAAAAGCGAGATTAATTTTAGTATTTTATTCATTCCGGCATACTTAAAATTTTCTTTTGTTGTAATCATATAAGAAGTTCTTAATAGTTATTTTCCATGCTTTCATACTGAGTTTTTAAAGCCACGTGAATTTACAGTCTGAGCTTTCTCATCCTTGCGCTGCTCACGGGGCGGCGGTGAGAAAGCATGCCTGGCGCACGGCTCAGGTAGACTCCTTGTCTTCAGGACGCCCCGATGTGGAAGTGAGGGGACTTGTAAGCACAGAGCTGGCACTCCATCCGAGGAAGCCGAGCTGATGGTGTTCGACAGAGTGCAGAAGCAGCCTGGTGGGGAAGGGGCCCTAGAGCTGGGTTGGGAGGGGCGAGGATCAGCATTTCCAGGAGCTGGAGGGGCAGGGCCCAGGCCATCGCCACTGGGGCACAGTGTGTGGGTGACCGTTTTGTCTCTTTTGTCTTTTACCTTTAAGTAAAAGCTCTTTTCTGGGAGATGGTGTTGCATAGCATGGAGTCCCAGCAGCTCGTCCGATTTAGAGCTTTGTGAACTTGGGGAGTGTGTTTCACATTTCTGAGCCCACGTGTCCTAATTTCACCAACCCTGTGACTTGTTAGGACGTGTTGTTTTAAATAACTTTTTATACAGTATTTTGTTTAAGATGCATATTAAGCAGTTTCCATAAGTGAATCGTTGTGCTCATTTTTTAAGCCAGATACTGTGGCCCCAGTTCTGAAGTTCATTCGTTGTTCCACAGTTGCTTCTGCGCTCCGTGGGGCGCCCTGGGCCTGCATCTCGGCACCGTGTGTCCGGGGCGGTGGCACTGGCCTTCCCAGTGGCACTGGCACTGGCTGCACTTACTGACACGCATGTCCTGGCCCTGTCTGCTGCTCTGGGATCGTGTTTGGCCCGTTTTTGTCCTTGAGCGTGCCTGACACACGGCAGGTGCCCAGTAGCGTCTCCGAATGCCGATGAGCTGGCTGCGTCATCGGCCTGTACTGGGAAATAGTCTGCACGTGCTCTTTGTGGGATTAGGGGGGAAACAGTGCCCACGACTTCTGCGTATAACAGCAAATAGACTTAAGATACTTCCAAAACATTCTGTTGCCTTCTGTATGTGAAATGCCGTAGAGATACACGATGGGTTTTGTGTTGTGAGTGTTCATTTTTTTGCGGCAGTGCACAGTGGTTTGCCTTGGAGTGCAGACGCACTTGTCCCCTGTTGCAGCTGCAGGGCGAGCCGGTGGAGCCCAGAGAGCCTGTGCGGTCCAGCCCTGCACACCCCACGGGAGGAGCAGCTGCGGACCCCGCTGAGCCGGAGAGGAAACCCGTCAGTGGGATGGACGACACAGACGTAACGGAAAGACCCGAGAATGTAGAGAGCAGCAGAAGTAAGAAGGACGGAGTGTGTGGGTAAGAGAAGTGGTCCTGTCTGCGCCCCCGTGGCTTCAGCCCCTTAGCTTGCAGGGGCGCGGGGCCGTCTGCAGCAGGTGGGTGCCACTGCGTGTGGCCGGGGGTCGCGTGCGTGCCGAGAGCCTGGGGCCACGCAGGGCTGAGGCGGAGGGCCGGGTGGCAGGGGCGCGCACTGCTGGCGTGTCACCTGGGGACTGATGACAGTGCGTGTTTCTCGTCCCGATTCCCTCCTCAGCCCTCCTCCATCTAAGAAAATGAAGTTGTTTGGATTTAAAGAAGATCCGTTTGTATTTATTCCTGAAGATGATCCATTATTTCCACCTATCCAGTAAGGGTTAATTGAACCTACTAAATTCTTGTTCTAAATGTGTAACAGGTCACGTTTGGTCATATATTTTTATTTAGTTCTATATAGCACCTTTTTTTCCTCGTAATGGCTTGGTAGAGCTGGGTGACGCTTTAAAGAGTGTACGGTGAGCTGCCAGAGACTGTAAAGTGCCTGGGATGGGGGGGGGCGGGGGGACTGGACTGCGGCCCCGAATGTCCGTCCCCCGGTGGAGCTTCCAGATCCGTGGCCGCCTGGCCAGGTCCTGGGTGGGAGGTTGGGGACCCCAACTGGAAACTCCTGGGTGGAGCAGAGGGTAAAGGTGCTTAGGGTAACGGGCTCTGGTTCATCTCTTCCTGCTTAGTTAAATCTCAGGATCCAGTCACCGTGGTGAGCACTTGCGCTGCCCTGTGCCTCGTGACCTTTCTCTGTGGGCATTGATGTTGCCAGGTCCCTGGAGCAGCAGCGGGAGAGGGGAGGTGTGCTTGTCAGTGAAGGTCCCCGCTCTAGTTGTGTCTGGTGATCTCCATCAAGTGTGGATGGTGGGCGAGCGCGGCAGGGCGTGAGTGCCCTGAGCTGCAGATGAGAACCCGGGCTTTGTCGGGAGAGAGACCGTGCTGGAGGCACCTGTCGCATTTGAACCAAACTTGTAAGCAGCTCTGTCTCGTTCGTAGGAAGTTTTATGCGTTGGATCCTTCGTTCCCAAAGATGAATTTGTTGACAAGGACTACGGAAGGGAAGAAGAGGCAGCTCTACATGGTCTCCAAGGAGCTGAGGAACGTGCTGGTGAACAACAGTGAGCGGATGAAGGTGCGTGCACAGCCGGGGCCGCGGGGGCCTCTGCTCTGGCTGGGGCGGAGGTGGGCTCGGGCGCCGGCTTTCCTGGTGTCATGTCTGCTGTGCCGATCGGTAGTCCACATCAGCCACGCTAGACCGGCCTCGTCTGAGGGCATCACTGAGGCTGTGAGAACCCCTACTTAGTCAGACTTGTAAGCCCTTCCTTTTCTTCTTTCCTTCCCTGCTCACAGCTCTGCCCCCTTGGGGCACAAGGGGTTGTTTTAACTGAATATTCAGCTTTTATTTACGTGTGTGTCATCTGACTGTCTCACTTGCAGGTTATAAACACTGGGATAAAAGTGTGGTGTCGGAATAACAGTGGTGAAGAGTTTGATTGTGCTTTCCGGTTGGCACAGGAGGTAATTTGGGGCATAGACTTGGTAGCAGCCGGTGGTCAGCCCACGGGCGGGGGTGCCGCGCGGGGAGGTGGGGGCCTGGGGACGTGTGTGGAAAGGCCTCGGGGGCACTGGGTGATTGTCCTCATTCATGATGGTGGCCTCTTTTTACTCCCACAGGGAATATACACGCTGTATCCGTTTATTAATTCAAGAATTATCACTGTATCAATAGAAGATGTTAAAATTCTATTAACCCAGGAAAATCCATTTTTTAGAAAACTTAGCAATGAGACCTACAGCCAGGCCAAGGACTTGGGTAAGCAGTTGGCCTTGCATAGAGGCGTGACTTGTCCTCGTAAAGACAACGAAGATGTGGGTGTGCAAGCTTGTTAGAGCTTTCTCAGTCTTAGATTTTAATACGTTGTGGCTTGCTCTTTACTACTTCTCGTCAGCTTCCAGAGGGCTTTGTGGGGACAGAGGCACATCTCAGCATACCCAGGGCCAGAGGCACCCCTCAGGTTGCCCTGCTTCCCCAGGCCACATGGAGGCCTGTGCCGCCCACCAGCCCACAGGTGTCTGCAGGGGTTGGGCCCTGGCCATCCTGCGAGCCAGACCTCCGAGTGCCCGCGGCCTAGCAGGGCCCCGCGGAGACGCAGGGCACGGTGCTGGGGCTTATCTGCGTCCCATTCTGAGGCGCAGGATGCTAACGAGCACAGGCTACTGCGTTCGCTTGGCATCCCATCAGCCAGGTTGGAGCAGGCTGCAGGTGTTGCCAGGTTCTCCTGTGGCTTGGCTGGCCCCCCAAAGGATATACTCGGTCATGTTGTTTCCACGTTTTATAAACTTCCACTTTAGAATCACTCTAGTGATGTTTTCACCTAAGAACAAAAACAACTCCACCAAGAATTCTAATTTTGTTTTTCTTTTCATTTTTGTTGATTTTTTAAAACTTTGTTCACTGTTTCTGGCTCAGCTGGCCGGAAAACTGCTCAAATCAAGTTACTGCAGTTCTGTGGTTGTATGTTTTGCATCCGAAACTGAAGGATACAAAACATGCTGTGTGGAATCTGTCTCCTGGTGTCTCAGGCAGGAGCTGCATCTAAAGTAGAGATTATTTTAAAGGATAAAGGGACCGTTTGCACTTGTCGTCTTCTTTGTCTTAATCTCATATTTAGATGGTTGGGGTATAATTTTTGACGTTTTTTATGTGTGTTTCATGCTGTTTCTGGAAGTTGGAGCAATTATTTATTTAATCTTGAATTTTGAGAATTAACCAGTAGTTAATCGCTGTCTCCCTGCTGCTGAGAGAGACTTTCTGAGTAGTTTCACCTAAACCCTCCTGGTCTGATGCAGTCCCCTGCCACATTGCCTGGTCTGCTTGGTGCTCAGCTTGCTAGTGGCTCTGTGTTTTTACAAAGAAAGTCCTCTTTTCTCCATGGAGATCCTAAGGACCAAGAGTGCGGATTATTTGCTGCCCTCTCTCCGCAATGCTGGACACACAGCTTCGCCAACACATGTTTGTTTCTCTTCCAGCCAAGGGGAGCATCGTCTTGAAGTATGAGCCGGACCCTACGTAAGTGTGGGTGCTCCTGCCAGTGGGGGGGACTGTGGATGGTCGTGGGAGCCTCTGATGAGCATTCCCCTGAAGATAGCGTTGTAGAAATTTTAGGACAATAATATATATATTGTCCTAAATATATATATATATAATATATATAATTATAGATATATAATTATGTATTATGTGTTAATGTATATGTTACATATATATTGTTATATATCATCACTAGAATACTCTCTTACGGGACATTCAGCTCAGGCCAAAATTTTCATTTAGCGAATAAAACGTACAGTACTCTTTCTCTGTTCCTGAGAAATCTAGTTCTGATTTTTGTCTTAAACAGAATGAAGTAAAGGTTGAAAGTTGAGAGTCTTTCCGTCTCTACTGTGGGTTCACCCCGGGTCTGTGGGTTCCGTGTTTTGCACGCGTCAGGCGGTGGTGTTCTAAGGCAGGGGTGAGGGTTTGCTCCTACGCGACCGCTGTCCTGTGGTGCTCACAAGTACCCACGCAGCCCTCAGGAGTCTGCGGAGAGTAGGCCCCGAGGGTCAGCGCTGGCCAGAGCGGCTGAAGAGCTAGGGAGCGGGTCGGGATTTGTACCTAGGTCTGGTTTCACGTGTTGCAGCCACCGCTTTCTAAAGTAAAATACTACTTCCAAGGGGAGGAAAGAAAACAGCACAGGCCTGAAGAGGGATTTGGGGGAGAGCTTAGGTGGAGCCGCGGACAGGTCTCGGGGAGGTGGTGTTTGGCCAGACCCTGGTGAGAAGGAAGTGGAGGAGCACCAGCCCTGAGGAAGGAATGAGCTTAGAAGGCAGCCTGCATGTAGCTGGCAGAGGAGGGCAGGCCCAAGCCCCTCTGCGTGGTCTCCACGGCCTCCATCTGCCATGAAGACAGTAGCCTGGGCGTGGGCCTGAGTGTGCGGGTGGGAGGCAGGGGTGCAGGGCAAGGGGGGGGCAGCTGGGGCAGGTGCCTTGGCCCAAGGGTTGGCAAGAGCGGGGCACGTGGGGCCTGGCGGGGCTGTGTTTGGACGTCACGCACACGAGGTGGGCTGTGGGTGGCAAAGGTGCAGGAGTACTCAGGGTCAGCTTCTGGGTTGAGTTGCGCGGGTGTTGTCCAGGAACGGCAAAGCGGGCAGAGAACGGACATACTGAATTTGAAAATGCTGGAATAGACAGCCGGAGACGGCCAGGCCGCTCGCTGTATGGAAGTTTTGGGAATTAAGGGGAGAGGCCATTCCAGGTGTGGATCTTCGGGGCTCGTGAGCATGTCAGTGCTGCGTCAGCCACGGGCTTGATGTGGGAGCTCTGAAGGGCGGTGTAGATGGGAGCCAGGCTTTGCAGGCTCTCGTGCCAGTATTCGGCGTCCGGGTCCGTGAGGTGGGATCAGCTAGGGAGGGGGCACGAGGCGGGAGAGAGAAGACACAGGAAGGAGCAGGGGGAGACGGGCGGTGCCCCACGCGCACACCAAGCTGTGGCAGCCAGCGCCGACCATGCTTGCCCTGCGTCTGCGGTACGCAACAGCGAACGGGGCTTTGCGGGGCAAGCGGCCGGGGCAGAGAAGGTCTACGTGGGCGAGGCTTCGGCCCGCTTCTGTACTCGTGGAAAATCCAAGAAAAGGAAAACAGGCTGTGGGTTTCTGGGAACAAGGGGCGGTGTCGCAGAAACGCTTTGACAGGGACCCAGAAATGGGTTTGAAAGGTACGGATACCGTGTGCTCTTCCACTCACTCGCTCCAGTTCTGTGAGCCGGTGCGCGCGTGCAGAGGCAGCTGTCGGAGCCCCTCAATCGAAAGACAGCAAGGGGTGGGCGTTGGGGACTCTTTTCTTGTCATCGTGTTTTCTCAGTGTATCGTCCAGACTTTCCCCAGGGATATATGGAAAGGTACTGAGGAGTTTCCCTCTCTTTTTGTCATGGTTTACTTCTCTCGGTGGTTCAGCCCCTGCGCTTTTTGCTGTGTGTGTTTTTTTTAAATCTGATCGGAACCCTCCTGTGTTCCTTCCTCTGCCCGCGACCTTGATGCCTGGCATCGCGTAGAGCAGGACATAGGGTTGATTGAACAGGGCTCCAGGAGCTGAAATACTAGAGCAGAGTCACACCTGAAGGGAAACAATGATTTGCATTGTCCTCAGGAAGGGGCACGTGAGTCACACGGTAACTGGCATCTCAGCCAAGGAAAGGGGACTTGAAGCTGCCTGGAGAGCAGGTGGGCACATCTGTGTGGCAGGATCGAGCAGACTCGGGGAAGCAGGGGTGCTTTGGGCCCCGGTAACACTGCATGCTGGAAACGGGTGAGCACAGTGTGCTGGGGCTCATCCTATCATGTGGGTAACCGAGAAGAGTTGGGGTCACCCAGCCCAAAGTAGGGGAAGCACGGAGTGTCGACAGCAAGGGCGGTCTGGCTCCCAGCCCGGCTCTGCAGATGTGAGGCCTCACAGGTAGGTCTTCACCTTTGAGAAGATGGAAGTAGTTGGAAATTCTAACGTTGAAAGTGTGTGTGAATTCTGGATGTGGGGGTTATTCCATTAGGAGCTTTTAGAAAGAAAAACTGGCCAACATGAGCATGTTGAGAATATTTAGGACTTGAAGCAGGAGCTGATCTTCCTTGGAGAAAACCATCCATAGGATCACAGACGAAAATGCTCCAGTGCTTTGGGCATGTTGTTTACAGAAAGGTTGCCTTTTAATCCTTCAGTGCAGTTAGGAGGACACTTGATACTCACACACAATCACTTTTTTGTAGGAAACCAGACACCCTTCAGTGTCCCATTGTGTTATGTGGATGGCGGGGAAAGGCCTCCATTCGGACTTTTGTGCCCAAGAACGAACGGCTTCATTATCTCAGGATGATGGGGCTGGAGGTGTTGGCAGAAAAGAAGAAGGAAGGGACTGTTCTGGCTCAGGAGGGCGCAGGCAGCTCTGGGCCGCCGGAGGACGAGGTGAGTGCAGAGCACGGAGCAGAGCCAGCCGCCAGCACGGACACCCGCGCGCATGCCGCCTCGGGTCCCTCGGACCCTGCCCCAGCAGAAGCCGCCCTGTCCCGGTGAGGAGGCCCTGGCACCGTCCGCACGGGCAGCCTGCAGGGGCCTCCGCCTCGGTGTTCAAGGCCGGGCCCAAACTTCTGACCTGTAAGTACAGGTTTTTGAAGACTGGAGACGGATGGAATCATAGAACAGTCGTGAATGATCTCAGTACCACTTTCATTTATTTTTTTAGCTTTGTTAGAAGTTGCCCATTTTACTGTTTATTTGGCAAAACCGGGTCCGTTGTACCTGTGGCCGGCGGTAGACTGTCACCATTAGTCTTACTCCTCCCAAGAAACAAACTGCCCTTGCAGGGATTTTCAGGTCCCCTTTGTTCTGCCTGTGTTGGTCTTATGGTCCGGTGTTAATTATTATTTATAGAAAGAATCTATAACTCATCATGGGTCATTGGAAAACCATCCTGTAAACCCCAGTAATTGTATCCAGTTGCACGTTAGTGCAACATTAGCGTACGGTGGGTCAACATCTGAGGTCTCAGATGACTTCTGTGCCTTTGTAGCAAAAGGTAAAATAATAAACTCTTTTTCTCAGAGTACGTGGTCTCGTGATACTAATTGTGAGGGTTTTAGGTCTTTTTATTGAATGGAGTGCTTTGCAAGTCTAGGTTTTAAATGGGGTTGGGATCCTTGGAACATTGAAATAAATCCTTAATGATGACGTGCATGTGTGTATGAGTTGTTTTTACTCTCGGTGAGGCGGAAGGAACAAACTTATTTTGGGGTAAATGGAAACGTTCAGCTTGTGAAAGGAATTTTAATGGGAAGGTTGCTCTCGAGGGAGTAGCTTGACGCAACAGGAAGTGAAGCCCTTCCTGTGGGCTCCCCTCTTGTTCCATAGAGGGCAGCGTTCAGGCCTCCTCTGCTGGAAGGGTCGGGGCGGGGGGGCGGTGCGGGCTCGGTTTGTCAAGGTGAGAAGCGTCTGCAGCCCTAGTGGGGCTCCCTCGGGCACTGTTGTTAGGGGACCTGGAGGGGATGCTCATGAGGCAGGTGCCGCGGGGCTGCCTTCCTTCATCACTTAGGAAGCCCCTGCTGTGTGTCAGGCAGGGTCCTGGGGCCTGGTGACGCGGCTCACCCTCATGGCCAATCTCAGCGTTGTCAGGAGAGTGTGGTGTGGCGAGCCTGCGTGTCCCTGTCCCCTAACGGGCATAGTTGTTAACAGCCGTGTTTTATCAATATCCCAGCTCTTTGAAATACTTGTAGCCCCGGCTCCCTTTAATGGAGCACGGTGGTTGGAAACTAAGGTCTGGAATTAGGTGTGTTCATTGCTACGAGGTGTTATTTCTTACAGACCAGACAGAACTGGGAATTAAATGTCTCTGAACACTCACAGTGTACATAGAAACACGTGCATGTGAGTTTGTCGTTTAAATGAGTTGCCAGTTGTTTAAACCCCATCACAGCAATCCATCTGACTCCAGCCCATGCTCCATCTCCATGGATCACCCCCCTCTATCAGATGGCCCTGATTTTCCTCACTGCCTTTTATGTATTTGTTCAGCCTTTGCATGTTGTAATCTCCCCCTTTGGCTGGCTCTGGAACCCAGATCCAGACCCTCCCACGCCCAGTGGTCCTGTCAAAGCCACACTTGAATCCTTCCAACTGCTTCCCTGGAGACCATCACTGATCAGGGCGAGCATGACGTTCAGCACCAACTAAAGGGAAGGGGAATCTGAGTTCTCTTGCAGTTTCCCCTCCAGACCTTCTTTAGAATGGAGATCTCTGGCCCTACTTTGTAGAGATTCTACATGGCTGGCATGGACTCTAAACCCCACATTGTTCTGCTGTGTGGCCAGGTTGAGGGACTGTTGGTTTGAATGACTAGCTCATCTAACAATGTGACACTATAATGACAAATTACAACCATTGGTGTTTTCTTTGCAGTAAAGAGGGCTAACATTTGTCTAGTTGAGGTGCTTTGCAAACATTCTTCAGTGCCGTTCTAATCCACAGGCATGGTTAGATTGTCAAGACCAAATGCTACATGACAGAGCCAAGGTTGAAAACCAGCTATGTCCACACTGCCTCCTTTGGACAGTGAACACCCTGTGTGTTTGGACAGATCTCTTCCCAGTTTGACATATAAGCAAACGAGGCCTAGGCAGTAACAGCCGTCTGACAGCACAATGCCTGGCCCCGTAAACGCAATGTAATTGATTTACTTTGGGGAGAAACCACACAGTCACTTGCACAAGGAAGATTTAATAGCATCGCTAGCTAATGGGGTTGGAGTGGTGAGGGGTTGGCTAGTAAAAACAGGATGCCGAGGAATATGGGAATGCCAGGAGGAACAGCTCTTGTGCTCAGGCAACAGCACCTCTCGAACCTGCTACCTCCCTCCCTGGGGTTTGTTAGGAGGGCTGGATAGCGGAGAAGTTGCTGCCGTTCCGGATCCGCTGAACTTGCTAGAAATCTGCCCCCTAGGCTACTAGGGAAATCCTTTTCAACAGAGGTGCTGTGCTAGGAGAGCAGGGTGTTTCTGGGGATGGCGGCTGGCCGCCCTGCACTGTGGAAGTTGGAGTCTGGGAAGCCACGGGCCGTGAGCAGCCCGGGAATCCAGGCGCCAGGGCCAAGCAGCTGAAGGCCTGCTTCCCGCCGTGTGTGCGTGGTGCCCCTGCAGCCAGAGCGCCCCGTGGTGCGAGCTGGCTGGACGCATTTTAAGGGCCCAGACCCGTTGAGAGAGAGGGTAATGGCTGGTGAATATGGAGGCTTGAGACCATCGGCTGATGACTGACCTGTGACTCATTTAATCCAACAACCTCCTAGAGGCAGAGGGAGGGGTGTTACCCACCCTGCTTACAGATAGGAAAGTCGAGCAATAATCTGTCACAGAGTAAGTGGCGAAGCCAGGAGCCCAATTTTTAAAAATGTCTTGACCAATCGGAGCAGAGCCGGCTCAGTTGTACGTGAGGGTCTCCGCCCTGGGATGCGTCCCCTTTCGTGGATGGCACAACAGCCACTTTGTTGTGATCTACTTTGAAGATTTTAGCAGCTTTTCAAAATTGCCAGAAATGAATGAAGTTACAGAAGGACAAAAGTCATGTTTAAGTGTGTCTTTTTTTTGATTAAGGCTATTTAAAATCTCTAATAAGCTTTTTTTTTTTCTGTCAGATGTAAACTTGAACTGTTATCAAAGCAGAGTCTTAATTAGGGTCTGCCTGGGTTGAGATATGAATCGAATCCACACCTATAATTTCACTGCCTCCCAAACCCGAGTAACACTACAGTAACAAAATTTTAACAAAAACAGGGAAGGGGAGTGCAGACAGCACAGTTCTGGAAGCTGAAAAGCAAACGGAAAGGCCGTCATAGAGAAGAGAGCAAAGCCCCATCCCGCCGTGGGAATGGCTGAGAAGCAGAATTCGGAAGTCTCAGAGCTGGCTGGGTTCACGAAGCAGGTGGTTCTGTCCTGGGGGTGCTGGGCACAGTGGAGGGCAGGGGGGATAGCAGCCGTCTGTGCACCTCCCCGCCCTCGCCTCCCGGAATGTGTGGGGCAGCCAGACCTCGGTCTCCCGCAGACCGTCGGAAGGCGCTTTTCTGGAACCTGCCCAGCTCTAGAGAAAAGACCTCACTATGGCGTCTCTCAAGTTAGAGCCTGTCGCATGCGCCTCAGGAAGGACAGGATACCCCAGCACGCTGCTTCCCATTCCATATGCCGCGTGGCCTCACGCTTAATCGGGAGCAGACTGCCACCAGGATTAGCGACATCTGACAAGAGCCGTTGGCATCGAAGACAGGGACCAAAGCAAACGGACAAGCAGGTAACAGGAGGCATAGATGACACAGGTGGCAGAAAAGTTTTTAAAAATCCCTGTTACTGAAAAATGAGCTAAACACATCCTGACGAGACTGTTTACAAACCAGAAAAGAGGGTGTTGCTAACATGAACAATTACACTGAAAGCTTTTCTTCCAGTTTTAATCAACATTGTGGCAAGGGGCTTCTCCGGAAAGAAGGCATTGCAGATGGCAGATCCGGCTGAAGAAGGTTCTTGTCCGTAGACGACATGCTCGTGTGTGCCTGGGTCACCGCTGGAGTGGACCCATGGGTCAGGGGACAGTGCTTGGTGCAGGTGAGCTAGAAGGGAGACACATTTTTCACTTAAGACCATCCGTTGAAACACCTATTGAGACGAATAAATTTCCTAGAAAGAATGAGAAATGCACATCACCTTGACCCAGTACAATGGCAGAAAACCAGAAGGACCCTGGTCCACGCGCGAGGAGCTCTGGTAAGCTAAATGAGCTCCTGTTGGACTAGAACCTAGGGATCACCAAGAAATGGAAGCGAGAAAGGCAAGGTACAGGGAAGTGTGTTTACCCCACTGCCATTTGTGTAAACAGGGAGAAACACGTACTTTTGGAAGTGCACAAGCTGAGGGAGGCTACAGAAGAGGTTGGCAGTACCAGTTGCCTTGTGGGGAGGGGATCTAGGTGGGCTGAGGCCAAGGTTATGATGGAGAGTTTGAATGTTGGACCCATTCAAAAAATGGATGTAAGTGATACAGGAGTGTGCATGTACATGTGAGTCCAGAGGGCAGAATTCTTGACGGCCATCTGTGACCTGTGGTTCATGTTTCACATCAGTAAATGCAAGTCTAGCCTCAGAGCACTTCTCAGGAAACAGAGCCCCAGCTGCTCTCCTGCTCTTGCTCAGGATGTCCTAGCACCTGGTGAGCCGCTGGCTGTGGAGGCAGTCATTCACATTGAATCCTGGCTCGGCTGCCCACTCTGTGGTAGCAGCTTCCAAAACTGCCCTGGGTGATCCCCACTCCTAGTGCTCTCCATGGCTGCCGGCTGCATCTAGGGAGGGGCTCCCAAGGCAGAGATATTCTAAGATAAGATCCCAGAGATGGTGAATTCTCTGTCCTGATAGAACTCTCTCAAGGAGTCAGGAGTCCCAAGACCATCCCTAAATTCGATGGTTCCCTAGGAGGATTCAGATCGTAGTTGGACTCACAGCCCTGACTGATTACAGGGAAGGATTGCAGACTCAGAGGGAAAGGCGCACGGGGTGACTTGGGGAGGAAACCAGGCTCGAGGTTGCAAGAGCCCTCTCCTGGGGGAGGCGCGTGGCGTGCACCTGGTTCATTTGGCAAGATGGGCA